CCGACATATCCGCTTACATTCATAATGTCAGCGGAGGGAGGGGAAGCTGCGCTGTGGAAGAGCAGAGTGGCGAGGGATAGCTGTCATCTTCCCTTTACAAGCTTCAAACATGTATTTATCGTGTGATTTTGGAAATAAAAATGTCATATTCTGAAAGCCAAGACTTTTTTATTTAAAATCAAACAAAACACCCGAACCCCGAAAAACTAGTTTTTTACGCAAATCCACGTTTATTTTGAAATGAGCCGTTGCGACTTTCGACTGATTTCGATAGAGCGGGTCACATATGGCAAATTGGGGGGAACCAGGTCAATTAAAGTACTTATTTAACTATATATTAAATACATTGAGTTTGAGTAAAATACTTGGTTACTGATTAATTTAGGTTATAATATATTAAATTGCAAAGCAAAATGCTGTAATTGATTTATTTTGTCTTTTGGTATTTTTTAAAGGTTTTCAACCTGAAAGAATCCTAATGTGTCCTTGAAAAATTTAAATAAAGAAAAGGAAAAAGGATTCCAGTTGCCCATGCGTCCTCTGTTGCCCCGCAAGCCTCTCAAATGTGCAAACACTCAAATAAATGCCAAAAACCCAGAGAACTTGACAATAGGCTACTTATCAGAATAAAATGTTAAATAACACTGCTAGTTAATAACTCTACTTTACTCAGTGGAGGCTCGTCCATCGAGGAAAGGGAGGACCATCCTCCCTACAATTTCAGAGAAAAATAAACTTTGAAGAGAACAATAAATACACCTCAATTTAAAAGATAAGTCTGTTAAAATACAGATAATAGCCCTGGCTTTGGGACTGAAATGGGGCTAGAGAGGACGAGCCTCCCTTTGGGCGGGTCTAGCCAGAGGCTCTGGATTGGGCGCCTATATCATCAGTGAACCAATCAGCGGATCTGACTGCGCATCAGAGTGTTGATGGGAAGGGTCATCAGCGATAGAGGTTTTTCTGAACCAGGGAACAGGGGCGCTGCGCCCTCTTACCAAAATCAATTCCTTGAATTAGGCTTTGATTATGTTCTGGCCCGCCATCTTGCGGCTCAGCAAAAAATTGGCCCACGGCCAAACTTACTTGCCTACCCCTGCTGTACAGCATCGAACTGCAAGACCCTGCAGCGTATTGTGAATCCACAGCTGAGAGGATCATCGGTGCCTCACTCCCGTCAATCCTGGACCTCTAAAACACCCGCCTCACACCCGTCCTTTCTGGTGAAGTAGTGCTATAGACTTCCTGCAGTTAAACCCACCTAATCATGGTGCTTCCTGCGAACAGGAAGTGCATAAAGTGGTTCCGCAGTGACTTTGAGTATAATGTGCAGGCATCATTAACTTAAACAACGTGGGCCGGTGCCCAGCTATTGAGCGCTGCATAATTTATTAGATTTCACAAGGGTGATTATTCCATATTGAAATAGATGTGATCCTGAATTGTTCTGCTCTATTGCTTTGTGTGAAATGAGTAATCAGCCTGTGGACTGGAGGCTGGACGCACAGACCAGAGACAGAAAGTCAAGGAGCAGCAGCACAGGGGGACACTGGTGCATTCAATAATGATGTGCTCTAACTTGGCATCAATAGTGCTGAAAATTAAGATATTGTCATAGAAGTTTCAATCACAAACCCACTTTTAGATAGAGCAGGCTTGAACCTCTCTGGACACGACTCGACAACTTGGCACTCTAGACCCATGTTTTCAGCTTTTCTTAAGCAGCGGTACGTTTTTTTACATAAAAAAAAAATCCTGCAGAACACCAACAAGCAAAAAACGCACTAAATTACACATTGTAGCCTAATATAGCATATACAATGTAATGACAGGTCTTTCAACTTGGCTACATGTTCAATTCAACTTCAAGGCTTTAATGCCATATGTATATACTGTGTAGAAATGGCAAGGAAAATCTTAAGTCCCTCCAACAATGCAACAAATGTATACAAGACAAAAACAAAAAAAATAGTGCAAGAAGGAACAGAGAACATAATAGTGCAGGTTATGTTTCAGACCAATGTGCAATATTCAATGACGTAATTTAGCTTAAACGCACAGTAAGCTTAAAGCTGTTTTATTCTGAAAACAGTTCTGGGTAAAGTTTATTTTGAAAAGCTGTATCTAAAGACGTTGACGAAAATGACCACTTCCGGTTCTACAGTAAACAACGATTACAGCCGTTAAATAATGATCACTTCCGGTTTTACGTAAATAACGATTACAGCCGTTATAATGCATTAAATAAAAACTAATGAAAGAGAATATGAGGAGAAAAGGCGTGTGGAGTTATGCAATAAATACACAACGTCTAAATCCTCTTATGCGCGATATCGGACATAGAAGACCGAGGTGGGAGGTTCCCCCTGCGTCACAGCCGGCATTGAAGAGGAGGAGACACGGAGGAGTTCTATTTCGTATAACGGCCCGTCTACACTTCTCAACTTTGTGTGGAACAATGCGGGGATTATGCGGCCTTTTGATAAATATGCGGCCTTTTAAAAATCTGCGCCATTTTGCTGATTATGCGGTAAATTCTGCGATGGCAGAATTGCGTTTTTCTGGAGGGTCTAATATACGTTACGGCATGTTTACGACAGTTACAGTAAGTGGGAGTGGCGCGAGACAGAGGCTTGTTTGGGGATGGATGAACCACCGGAGGGAGCAATAAAAGCGTCCTGTTAAATAACCAACTGTTCCGTTGTCTGTTAATATCCAAGATATTACAGTAATGAGCCCACGAGTGCCATTATTACAGTGAGGACAGAACTGCACACAGCTCCGCTCATCCCTCAGGGGTGTTGCGCGTGAACGCACCTCAGTGTCCAGTTTAACACTGTAAGCAATTGCTGTTATTTTACAGCCAATTGTCAACACTAATCTACTGGCAGCCCCCTAACCAGAATGTTACTGTGAATTATTAACATTTTTACAGTAATAAACTGAAACTGTTCAACAGTATGAATACTGTATAATTTCAGTGTATCTGCTGCCAGGATTTTAACTCGTGTCATGTCTTGGCAAGCTGTCACTGGTTAATGAACAAGAGAGTACGGAGTACAAATATTGCCACTCGTTGTCATTTGCCCACCAGTGCCAGTGACTGCCATTTGACTCCTTAGCGCTCAGTAGGGTTGGGTACCGAGAACCGGTTCCAACATTTAGATTCCAACGGCATCATTTAGAAATGTGAATTTCGGTTCCGCTTTTCGATGCCTGAGGAAATGTCTCTCGCCGCTCTCCGTAGCCTACTGTATGACTGGGTCGGGGCGGGAAATGTAGCGTTGTACCTACACTTCTACAGCGTAACCTGGGACCACCATGAATGGCGGTAGACGCTCTAAAGTGTGGATTCACTTTGTTAGGAAAGACAATGGGTCGGCAGAGTGCAACACCTGTTCCAAACTTATTTCCTGCAATGGAGGGACCACGACCAATATGACGAAACACCTTCGCCTGCACTGTATACAGATCAAGGAGTGTACCGTTTTCAACCTGTTTCGCCAGTCTCCGTCCGCCTCACAACCACCGTCGTCTTCCGCTGTCGTCCCGGCTCAACCAACACCGAGCGCTCCCTCAGCGGAGCCCTCGCAATCAGGTGTGTAAATTAACATCACTCAAAACTAAAGGATGGTTGTTTTGTTTGAGAGTCTGTGTGTAAAATTTGTGGATATTCTATAGTTTTGTAGATGAAAGTTTGCGGTCGCGTAGTTGCGCGGCTACAACCAGGGCCGTATCCAGGATTTCCTAAATACCGAGGTCCAAACATGTTCGGGGGGTACCCCTCGAGATTTTTGGGATTTTCATGATCTAGTTAGGTGCTTTTTATGTCCTGCGGGGGGTCACAAATTGGATAATATATTGATTTCAAACCAAGTCAGTGGGCTGCAGCATACATTATTTTTGAAGCCAGCCGCCTCTGGCTTCCCTTGGCATGGCCCTGACTAATCACAGGTTGGCAGGGGCATCACGTGAGCCTCATCTGATTGGTCAATCTCTCAATTTGTTTTCACCAAGGGGAGCCAATTTCGGCTGGCCTCCTCTCGCAGCAGAGAGAATCTACTGTTTCACCATAACATCTAGAGGGGCGCTGTTTCACTCTTTGTAAAATACTCAATGAGAATGGGGGAGAGACGGGCCGGCAGCAACACACAACAAAGAATTTCCGAAACTAAACGAAGTGTTTTTATTTATTTATTAAAATTATAACTACACTCCGAAAAAACAGGGGAAGCCTGGCTTCCCTTGGCCTCCAGGAGAAACCGCCACTGATTATGACATCATAACTGCAATAGATGTAGGCCTATGTTGTTTAAAAATTATGCCTATTGTAAATTAAGACTATTGTTATAGATAGATACATAGATAGATACATAGATGGGCTTATTAAGCCTACATTATTTTGTGTGACTGTACCTGCAGTTCCTCCCTGACTTCCATCACTTGCTCTCTCTCTCTCTCTCTCTGCCTGTCCTGTCTCTTCCTTACCAAAGCTGAGCTTCGACTGACGTAGTCTTTTCATTATATCTGAGTCAGTGTAAAAAGAAAACAATACAATGTTATATCTTCAATGTTTTATTCAAATTGAAATGAAAGAAAAGCATTACAACGTTTGTTAAAAGGTAATCCTTCTGAAATTGGATGAATGTAATTAACTTTAGCTCTCTAACTAGTTTATTCACGCAATTTAACCCAAAGTATAGCCTATACTATAGCTGCAATATAAGTTAGTGTGCATGTTGTCGGACGTCCACTGACTAACGTAGAGAGTTCACACAGGATCTGCTGGTCCTATGATGTCCTGATGAACAGAAACACAAGCAGCCCGCTGGACTCAGATCTCTAGATACCTCATCACTCCTCCACTGCTCCGGTTCAAGTCCGGTCTGCGGAGGTTTGTTGATACCGGTTGATACATGTCTTCTTCTTCTGTTTGCTTTAATCAAGGCTACGAAGTTATGCAGCGCCCCCATCGTCAGTAAATGGAAGTACTACAAAGAACCCCGTTTAGTGCAATTATTTCACAAGTTTTGTTATATACACAACTCGAAAAATATTACCGAGGTCCGGACCTCGGTGACCTCAATGGTAGATACGGCCATGACAACGGCTCAAGCTAACAAGCCCGTCCCAACCCGTGTCAACCCATTCACCTTAGCAGCAAAGGGAAAGATGACAGTAGAGAAACGTGAGGAGTGCCACAGAAAAGTCACCGCTTTTGTGGTGAAAAGGCTGCATCCCTTCTCAGAAGTAGAAGCACCTACATTTCGGTACGCAAAGACAATTATACTAATTTTCTAGCTGCCCAGACCTCACCCACAATAACAATATCATTTTTGTTTTTGTGTTTACAGGGAGATGCTTTTTACTCTTAACCCCAACTACACCCCCCTTATCAGAGATTATCTGAAAAATCAGTTAATACCATTTTGGTATGAGATTGAAAAGTCAAAAATAATTACTGAGCTTAGTGAAGTTAGCTGTGTTGCCCTCACATCTGACGGCTGGACTAGTATTGCACAAGACCACTACCTTACTGTCACAGCACACTATTTAGTGGAGGGCAAAATGTGGCAAAAAGTGCTCCAAACCAAGGCTGTCTACAAAGCCCAGACAGGAATCGTCATAGCAGAGGAGATTGCAGATGTCTTGACAGATTTTGGCCTTTTTGACAAAATAGTGGCAGTCACAGTTGACAATGCTGCAAATATGGATGTAGCCATACACAGGCTCCAATTTGTGAAGCCGGGCTGCTTTGCTCACACTTTGAATCTGGCAGCACAGAGTCTCTACTCATTGGCCATCATGTCTCAATGGATAGCAAAGATCTCTGCACTTGTTGTGTGGATTAAGAGGTCATCAATGGCTAAAACCGTGCTCCAGGAGAAGCAGGTAAGAATCACTGAGTTACATTCATTTGATTGTTGTGAATTGTATTTAATTAAATAATGCTTGTGTTTTTTTCAATACAAAGCACTGTATGCGTTTTTCAGGTATTAACATTTCAAAAACTATGTAAAACATACATGTCAAATGATAACTACTCCATGTTAAATTGAAATCCCATATGTTAAAGTATTTGTGATTTTCTTGTTTGTCAGAGCTGCCTCAACACTCGCTCATACTTGATGTGAGAACTCGCTGGAATTCTCTCCACCTAATGCTGGAGAGATTTCTCGAGCAATACCCAGCAATTCAGGCAGCCAGCTTGGATCAACGGTTGAGAAAGCCTATGGAGAGGGACAGGTAGTCAGACTGATAGATAAAAAATATAGCTACTTTATGGATCCAAAAGAAAATGTAGGCATCCAGTAGCTTCCTCATACAAAACACTAATACTTCATTATCAGGGAAGTGATTGTCTAGCCACCAGAACTAGTGCAGAGAGCTGTCACTATAAGCATGTGGTAATGCAAATGTAGATAACTTAAAAAGTAGCTAGCAATGTAAACTATACTGATTAGTGTGGATAAGTGATGGATTTAAAGAGGAGCAGTTCCCTTGTCAAACAGCATTGTTTTTGTTTAAAATGTAATATTTTTTACTTATACTTAATAATACAAATATTCTTTATCACTCAGACTTGCCCGGTTCACTGACGAAGACCTCAGGCGGGCAGAGGACTTCATCAGACTGATGAGGGTTATGTACACGTCCACCCTCTGCGTTTCTTCGGAAAAGAACCCGACATCTGGACAGATTCTGCCCATTCTCAAAAAGCTTGAGATGCATTTTACATTACATTACATTACATTTAGCTGACGCTTTTATCCAAAGCGACTTACAATAAGTGCGTTCGACCAACAAAATACAAACTTGAAGAAAACAGAATCATATAAGTACATCAGGCTTCATAGAGCAAAAACATTTCAAGTGCTACTCAACCGGCTTTAGATAAGCCAGTCCTTTATTAGTATATAAGTGCTTTGTTAATAGTTCTATCGCTCGAAGTGGAGTCGAAAGAGATGAGTTTTCAGTCTGCGCCGGAAGGTGTGTAAGCTATCTGCCGTCCTGATGTCAATGGGGAGCTCATTCCACCATCTTGGAGCCAGGACAGCAAACCCACGTGTTTTTGCTGATGGGAACTTGGGTCCCCTTCGCAGCGAGGGTGCAGCGAGCCGTTTGGTTGATGCAGAGCGGAGTGCACGTGCTGGGGTGTACAGTTTAACCATGTCCTGGATGTAGGAAGGGCCAGATCCATTGGCAGCATGGTAAGCAAGTACCAGTGTCTTGAAGTGGATTCTAGCAGTTACCGGAAGCCAGTGAAGGGAGCGGAAGCGCGGCGTGGTGTGGGAGAATTTAGGAAGGTTGAAGACCAGACGAGCCGCTGCATTCTGGGTGAGCTGCAGAGGTCGGATGGCACATGCAGGTAGACCAGCCAGGAGGGAGTTGCAGTAGTCTAGGCGTGAGATGACGAGAGCCTGGACCAGAACCTGAGTCGCTTTCTGAGTCAGCTGGGGACGTATCTTCCTGATGTTGTAAAGCGTGTATCTGCAGCAGCGGGTTGTAGCAGCGATGTTTGCAGTGAAGGACAGGTTGTTATCTAGGGTCACACCCAGATTCCTTGCAGTCTGAGTCGGGGAAACAACAGAGGTGCCGATGTTGATTGTTAGGTCAAGAGTGGGACAATCTTTTCCCGGGAGGAAGAGCAGTTCAGTCTTGTCAAGGTTGAGCTTGAGGTGATGATCATAGTTATTTCCTTGGTAAAAGAGTTTTGCTAATGTAGTTTTGTTTTATAAAATGTAAATTTGTCTCAAGCTTTGTTAAAGTGTTTCACACTTTGTAATTATCGTTTGCCCTTCTCAGCCACCATATTCAAGCCTTCAACCTCTTCATATGGTGCAGTATGGCAACCAAAATTCAGTTTCATGCCACATTCTTATGTTTATAGCACCAGGATAATTTTTTACATGATTTAAGGTATCACTCCTTAGATGTTGTATCTGGAAGAAGCCAGATATGACACTTAGGCCCAATTCCAAACCACACTCCACCCACTCCCCCTTCGTGATGGAGTGAACTCCGTCTGTAGTCACACTCGCAGCTTAGTGAGGCTCCCTTCTTCCAGGTGGAGGGTGTAAAAACAGCAGGAAGCTTTGGGAAGAACTCCCCTCTCTCCAGCTGAAACAGGAAATGCCATGATATTTCATGACAACGGTTTCAAATCAGCATCTCTTGGATTAAAAATAACAAATATAAACCTCTAAAAATCTTTTATGGCATATATTTTTTGTAAACATATTTTTGTTTTAAAATCTGATGTTTATAAACTACTTCGTATTTGCAAAAGTCAGTGTAAATATACACAACTTTACCATTTTCTAGACTAGACATGAGTAAATGATCCTAAGTTTAAACAAATACGAGGTAACCATGTAAGGGATAATGTGCAGCGAGGCGGTCATTATGGGTAAAAGAACACCCGACAGGCTGATCAGGGAACCCGACGCGAAGCGAAGGGATCTTGATCAGCTTGAATTTGCTCCGTTCACTACTCATGATCGTACGGCAGCCAACCCCAATTAGCGGGCCAGATCCGGCCGACGAGAGGCAAATGCATGGCCCGCGCTGATTCACTTGTTATAACATATTAATGAAATCTCCGCGGTTTACCTTTATTTGGACCTCCGTTGACACTCGTAAACCTGACCCTTGACCTTATCGCGTGAATATGCAAGACGTGCTTCGCGCGCTTGACTTACTCGTCACCACCCGGAATAGCGGCAAACGCATATAAACAATAGCTCGCCAGCTAGCCGCCTGTCATCCCAGCCCAGCGATGGACCAACATGACACTAACGGACCGTTTGCTGAATTGGACGTCGACCTGTCTGACTATTTGATCAGATTTCACTCTGTTGTTTTTTTGTTTTTTTATTGTTATGCCCCATCAGAACACGGCAAAATAATTTGTATTTGTTAAAGCATTTATTTATTATTATTGTGAATAAATCAAACAATTAAATCAAACAATTAAATCAAACAATTGATTTTGTTTCAAGGATGCATTTTTCCTTTCAACAGGGTTTGTTTAATTACTACTGCCACTACTACAACAATTATAATAGAGGTAACATCTGCATATAGTGTAAAACAACTTTTAGTGACACATAACATTTTGGCCCTTAGCTTTTCATGCTTGACAAAAATTGGCCCTTTGGTAAATATAATTGGGGAACCCTGTCGTACGGTCAGTACTGTGAAAACGTCTTTTTTTTATCGAGATGAGTTTGCAAATGTTGACATTTGTACAGATTTAACAAACCCTAGTGAATGAATCCACTGATCGTGCGATGTCATGGATCCTTTGAGATTTAGATATCGAGACTGAGAAAGTTTGATTCTCTGTTCATTTGTCTACCTCTCCTCCCCCTCAGATGTGTTGCCAGGTTTGTAGATGGGATTCCTCCCTCTGTGTCTTTGTGTTGTGATGCCATGCCAATTCCTCTGGAGCTGCTGTGGGACAGTTGTCTGTCAACAGAAGCCTCAGTGGGACGTCTTGGCGTTGCACTGCAGAGAGCTGGCATCCAGCGAACACTGCTCAGCTGTACACCAACACTGGAATACCTCATGATCCTCTTCACTCAGCTCCAAAACTCCAGCGGTCAGTGACTTTGCTTCTACCCGGTCTGCGCCAACGCCAGATTTGTCTGATGTATCCAGGGAGGTACAGTAGTAATTAAGGACGGGTAAAGTGTGACCTCCAGCAGGTGATTACCAGCGTTTTGTCTAAACCGAGTCACAGGGGCATGCACTGCACCCTCTTACTCTCTGCGTCCGCCCTCAACTTTAACTTCAATATATCAACTTTTCAGGATGTCCCTGTAGAGATTGGAGGAGAATCTTGTTTTTGGCCATGTCTATCAAACAGAAACTACCGTAACAAAGACTGAAAAACTCTCTTTCTGTCAGCAGATTGGTCGAGCGGATCCTGGATGTGGCTGTTGATCAGTGTCATGCTTTTTTCTGCATGTTTTATCCTCCTCTCTACAGATTGAGCGCTGACAAGGTCATTCACACAAAGTGAGCAATAATCTTCCTATTTGGGATCATGGATTAAAACAAACTAAAACTAATACAAAGCAGCCCAAATAGATAGATAAAAGGCAAAGGGGCGGAGCTGGTCTGTGATTCGTTGTCATAGAATCCCTGGGAGGTGTCTGTGCTGAGCAGCTTTCTGTCAGAAAATTAAGCTATACGGACACAGTTAACTCCATAATGCACCAAAACAGCACTGGTTTTTATAACAGAACATTCTTTTTTTATACACAACACATGCAGACTTGCACCTATTGGATGATTTATTGGCTCCAGAGGTGTGACAGATGATGTTTTCTTCATGCAGATCACATGGCACAATAACATTTTGCACTAAGATTGGCTCCAAGGGATGACACAGAGTAACACACACAGTATTTTCTAATTAAAAGCATTGTTCACTCCATTGGGAAGAAAAAGTATAATATCTATGTTTACCATTTTACTCAATAATTCTGTTAGGCCACTTCCACTTCCTTGAAGTGGTAGTCTGACTACCAACACTCGCTCTGTCTCACTGATTTCCCTCCGTCCTTGTTGAGGCTTCGCCCACCAATCGGTTCTGTTAATTGCAGTGCAGCAGTTAAGGACCCCGGATGGCTCACATTATCTTTATTTACCGGCCTAATTGTCACACTGATGGCAGCCTTGAATGGAGCTATGCAGCACTGAAGACAGATCCCTCACTCGGATGAAACACAAGACACCAGGGAGCAGGCCCGGACTGGCCATCGGGAGGACCGGGAGGTTTCCCGATGGCCTGGCCTGCTAAGTGGCCTGCTGGCCTGAGGAATCTTTTTTTTATGTATGTATTGTGAACGCAACGCTGCGCAAATGTGGGTCTGACTCTGCCTCACAGAGGGTGACTGGCTGTCTATATGATGTGGCCTGCCGAGATGGCCACTTTCATACAGATCATACACTAATGCCCTCGATTGGTCTCTGTGTGTCATTCAAGCTCGGGAGGGTGTGTGTGTGTGGCGCGAGCGAGCGAGAGAGAAAGCGCGCGCACCGGTTACATGTATTGTTGTTAGCATCTGGTGCTAGCTAGCGGTGCTAACGGATATAATGAGCTGTCAACAAGGTGGAGGGAGAGTCCTCTGCTGTCAGACTGAGAGGCTGATAACTACAGCTCAGGTGAGGTAAAGGACTCTCTGAGTGTTTAGATAGTTAACTCAGTCTAAGTTATCTCAGTGGGTCTCAAACGGTTTGGTCACCATTTATGGAAACACATATTTCCATTTGAAGGGGGAGTGATTAGTAAAACATGCATGAATACAAATTTGTTTTAACTAGGTGAAAAAAGGTAAGATAAACTATTAAAACTTGTTGAGAGCTAAAACTAGTCTTTGCTGCTGCCTCAAAGAGGAGCAGGGGGGAGAGGGGGGAGACAGGAGAGGCTGGTTCAGGAGCACAGACACACTCACAACTATAAATGAACCAAAAACAAATAAATAAACAAGTTTCAGTGTTTTTCATATTGGATATGGTATGTTATTGGTTATGGCCATGTTTTTATGATTTTATGATTATTTAAATGTATACAGTTCTGTTTCATATGGGTGTAGTCTCTTTAGTTCCCCCTCAAAGTGCACCAGATTGATGCATTTAAGTCCAACATTTAAAAAAAAAAAAAATCTTACCGGGGGAGCATGCCCCCGGACCCCCCTAGAGGATTTGAGGTCCATCTCCACATAAAATATGTTCACATGGATAGGTTCCTAAATAGATTTGCACTTTTTTTTTAAATAGTAACCCATG